ACTCTTCTTCTTCTTCTTGATACTCATTATCTTGATACTCATCATCTTGGTACTCAGCATCATCATCTTGGTACTCATGCAAATATTACACAAATATGCAATGTCTGATTCTGTGCAACATTCCAATTTTTTTAATATATAGATAAATATATAATTTATCAACTTTTCATTCCTCTTATCAACACTTTCTAAGTTTATCTTTATTAAAATTATATCAGTTCTTGCTAATATTATATCATCTAACAAAACTACAATATTACTTACTATTAAATTTTTGTTATATCTTAATCAACAAATTTATAATTCTATCCGAATCTCATATTGTATTTCTAGATCTCAAGCTAGTATTCCTACTTATTCATCACCTTTTTCATCTACTTTATCTCACTAACTCTGATCTTTGCTTCATTTAGTAACTAATCCTAAATTATTATTATAATATCTACAATAGATCAAATATCAATTTAACTTATATATATAACTTACTTCTAAATTTCTAAATCTAGGTAAGCTTTGACTACTCTGATAGGTTTAGGCTACAAATAATTATGTTATTATAATATTGTGTTGAATCAACTAGGGTAGCCTTCAAATTTGCAGGTTATGTGAGTAACGCCACTACTGCAATTGCATGTAGAGTATATGTGATTGTTAATTTTCTTAATATAATCTCGAACTATGTAAATTAATAATGTTGATATCAGTATAATAAACTGCTACGTAGCATTAGAATAACAAAATTATTAACATTAATTTAGTTATTAAAATTAATACCTCCGGCTGTGGTCTCTAAATTCCGGTTAAAAAAAATAGATCGCCAGAAAAAAAGCAGATTACATCACCCGGAAATTTTGTGATATTTTGCATAAATGATGATTTATATTTTGCATAAATGATAATTTTACATGATCATATCACATGAACAATAACAAGAAAATATTGAGAAAATATTGATCTAAACCAGTGATTATTTATCGTTGTGCGGACTGTGCGAAGCAAAAATGTTGCGTACATTTTCTTTTGAACAGACGTGCGGATGCCGCACAGAAAAAATTAACATTTTTGTAAACAGTTGTTCATAGTTTTTCTTGATTTGTCTTCAGAAAAAGTTTCTAAATTGTGCAGTATCCGCACAGTAAAATTTAATTAAAAATTAATGAACATTTTGTATAACTTAAATTTCAAGTCAATACTCTTTTTCATATGTTTCTATTATATTTTTGACTTATTAAGAACTAAAATCATTAATCGACAAGCACTAGCCGGCTGACCATGTTATATCAGTCGGCTTAGCCGGCTAAGCCGGTTTACGAGTATATGCGCTAATACTAACGCTAATGGATGAATGAATTAATGTTAATACTAGCGCATGATGATGCGCTGTTACACATGAATTAAATAACGGATCATAGGGTCCGTAATTTTAACTAATATATATTTCATTATATGGTGATCGATAGTAAACACAAGACTTTTAAAAACAAAAAAAAATGAATGTATGACTACTTAATTTTTAAACCATGGCAAGACTCTGTGCTGTGTGTAGAATAAAAGAGGTTTATATTGAAAATGGATATCCCACTGAATTTTGTTCTCACAATTGTCGAAAAGCTGCAGTAGACAGACGTAAGTTGTCAAAATTTTGGTTTGCTTCACTATTTGCATTCTAACATAAGAAACTAACATTATACTATGTTTATAGATCTTGTTGAAGCTTGTATTGTATGTCGTATATATCCAAGAGTTTTGCTACAAACTGGCACTAGATCACCTTATTGTGGAAAAAATTGTCAAGCTAAAGCAACAGCGTACGGATCGGGGGCACCGCCAACACGGTATACGACTCCTACAAGACCACCGATTCAGCAAGGATTCCCCCGACCAGTACTTGTATCTTCTCCCGTATCTACTATACAACCTGGCCAAGTTATAAGTGTGCCGCCGCCACTTCCAGTTAGACAGCCGGTTGCTCCAGTTAACGTTAACCGGCCATTTCCAATGAATCAAGGACAATATATGTCTCCTATGTGCGTTCAATGTAAAGTAAAACCTCGTTGGAGAGATCAAAATACTGGACAGCTTTCTCTTTACTGTGGAAAAACTTGTAAAGACAAGGCCACAGGTTAGTAAGACATATCTTGTATTCTAAACAAAGGAATTACTGTTTTAAAAAATTGATTTATGGGTAGGACTTTCAAGGATATCACAAAACTATAATGCGTTTCCAACAACCATTGCATCTAATGGTATTCCAACACAAATAGGTATTCAACAGCAACAGGCCACACCATTAAATCTTTATCAACCCTCACAATTAAGTCCAGGTGTTCAACCACAATCCATACCAATGAATCTTCATCAACAGGCACCGTTAACTGTTCAACAGGCACCGTTAGCTGTTCAGCAGACTACACCATTTATGAATGTTCATCAGCAGTCCACGCCAGTTGCAGGTATTCAGCAACAGACTACTCCTGTAAGTGTTCAACAACAGGCTGCAGCAATGAATATTCAACAACGGACTTCATCATTAAATGCTCAGCAACCAATAAATGTTCATCAGCAAAGGAATTCAGTAAATATTCAGCAACCAACAAATGTTCATCAGCAAAGGAATTCAGCAAATTTTCGTCAACGACCAATTTCGCAACAAAGTACACAATCAAAAGGTAGTAATCGACAGCGAAATTCATACCAGAATGGATCGTACCAAGATGAAATGTATCAAGATAATGAGTACCAAGATAATGATGCTGAGTACCAAGATGATGATGCTGAGTACCAAGATGATGAGTATCAAGATAATGAGTATCAAGAAGAAGAAGAAGAGT